TACCTGACGAATGAGAAATGGATCACGAGTTTCAAAGGCCATGAACTTGTTAAGGTTGAAAAGGATATTGAAAACACTTCCTGAAAGCTTACAGCCTTTCAGATCATGGAGTGTGATATAGCTCTCATTCTGCAAGAACAAAACTTCATGTCAATGACAATAAAACTATATCTAACAAGCTGCATAGTATTCCATTCTTTTAAACAATTTTCTTGAGGCAATAAAGCTCGGCGGATGCTTATTTCCAGGATGTTACATGCCAGCAACGCAATGATCAATTAAGGAGGAGGGGTTACAATTATTCCGATAAGGACCACTTGCCCTCAACCTTGTACTTTAAGACTTTGTTTAAACAACGTTCAGTTTATTCCAAAAAAAGATAAGATAAGAGTAAAAAGGCACAGTCAGAAAAGGCAAACCTCTGGTCCAATCATGTCAATTATCTGGCACAAAATATCCTCAAAGAGAACAGGTTCTTGGGCCATGCACTCCATTCTATGCAATTGCTCCTCATAAAAGAAATTCAGTTCATTCCGTGTCAAAACTCCATTTCCATCCAAATCTATGCACTTGAACCTAACATGAACAATGTAGTGTCACAGCTACTACAGAATTGATAGAATAATTAACTGTAAAGTTGAAGCAAGTGGATCCCTCCATCCATCACTTGGCAAACTGAGACTGCACATTCAATTACACTTAATTGAAGGCTCAAATATCGGTCTCTGTCCCATCCCAAAGTCAAATCTGATCAAAACCTAACAAGAACAATGAATCTTCCGAACCGCCTCTGAAAGCAGGACATAGTAATGGTTCTACTTAAAAAGTTTTCAGGGAAAAAGTTTCCAGTACTGCTACATGAAGTATAGAGAATAAAGTTTCCACCTAATAATACTTCTATACGATTATTAGGCAACTGAATTCACCCATCCAATGATTGATTTAATCTTTATTCTTTTTAGAAATAAATCACAATTCGTTCCTGACTAGCCTAATTCTTTTTAGTGCATGGCTGACTTTAAATGAATGTTGAATCAACAAGGCTGATTAAGAAAATTAATACAACAATGGTGGAAACCCATTTTTACGTATTTTGTAATCTTTCCACTTTTTCCATCAAACTACCCAGCACATATGTTCCACTTGGACTTCTATCTTATATTGCTGCATTACCCATGATTACACTTGACTGCTAAGTCTAGTGAAGCAAGTTACTGACTGAAATAGATAAGAGGTAAAGATATACCAGAACTCAAGGCTAGGCTCAGAAGTCTTATCCTCCTCTGAGAGAATGAAGTAGACAAAATCTTGATACCCCATCTTTCCTTCAACCTGGCTCGTAAACTTTCTTGCGACCTGAGAAACAAAAAATAAACTCATTAATTACATAAACGAGACTGCATGCCTCAGAGAGAGAGAGAGAGAGAGAGAGAGAGAGAGAGAGAGAGAGAGAGAGAGAGAGAGAGAGAGGGAGGGAGGGAGGGAGGGAGGTAATAGATCAAGGTTTAAGCTTTTATTGATTGAGAACCTTTTCTTAAAGTTGGTAAACAAAAGCTTCATGACAAACCTGAGAAAATATTCTGTCAACAATCCTGTAGGTAAGTGCATGGTTACCATATCTGATCAGGTTCTCTTTGTCGATCAGGAAATCATGATCTGTATCCAGCTCCCAAAACTTGCAGTATATCACATAAAAGTGCTCATACGAGAAGTACCTGTGACAGATCATATAAGAAAAAAGGAGTTTCGAAGACCAAAAATCACTGATATCACATAAAACACACCAACATGCAGTGAGGAACACTCCCGCAACCTATTCCAGATTGTGTGAAAGAAAACAGGCATGATGGTTCCTAATTCTACTGGCCACACCCTATAGTCTATAGTAACACAGACTAAGTCTGTATACTGAATCTTTACCTCAAAACCTTGTTGATGTCCTCTTCTTCATCTGCATGTTGCATTGCATCAATCAAGTTTCCACGCTTCAACTCCCTGAGTGTGAGATGACCGTTCCCAGATCTATTTATGTAGTAAAATATTCTGTATATTACAGTTTCAGCTGGACCATTTGCAAGAATATCTCAAGTTAACGTGTGCATCATGTGAAAGGAATTGCATCAATCATAACCACAGTGAAAATGCAATACTAAAACAGCCTAAGTGGGAGGAAGGGAGAAAACAAAGGAGGAGGAGAGAGGGGAATGGAAAACTCAACAAACATATGGTATCAAGAAAAGGCTGATTGTAGGTGGAGAACAAACCATATCTTTCCTGAAACTCTTGCGTGCTCTGCAAGAACTCCAACCCTGGATGAGTTGCCAAAAGTTCTCGGAGGACAGGTTTAAACTCATCCTGTTATCAAACAGGAACAGGATTTAGATGCTAGGTAGTGCACCAAACGTAATAATTTTAATGATCAACACTGCATTTAATGGTATAATGATTAATTATACATATTTGTAGAGATATCAGGTTGAACACAGATTTGCATTAAAACATAAACGAGGGAAACAAATAAAGCAAGACAAAAACCTGAGTGAGGTATTTGAGATCTGGTTGCTTTAAGATGGAATATATCTGAGTAGCTATATCCATCGTCAACATGTTTCCAGTGACCCAATAATCAACAAATGTGTCCCTACAAACAAATTAGTAGAAAAAATTAAGAGTATGGTTTGCAAAGGAAACAGCCAAGCTTCAATAACAAGAGAATTAACAAAGTCCAGAGAGAAGAACTAAAGAAACATGACCAGATAGGGGTCACCCGGAACTTTTAGTCAGATGAGGTAACCATATTAGTTTATACCAGGAGATGGCTACAAGTCAGCTCAGAAAAAAATAGCCTCCAAGAAAGCTACTTGAACCCCTTCTCCCCAATCAACCCTTATAAAGGGCATTTTTATCCACTTCAGGCTGAAAGATTCATGCTCCTTAAAGTGGGGGTAATAGGGTAGGTGAACAATAATTAAGACATTTTAATAGTAGAGGATAATAGTTGTGGCACATAAGATAAACCACAGTAAAGGGGTGGGGATAGCAACTTCGAAACTACATCCTTTCATAAGCAATGACAAAAGTGAATATTACCTTGTTACAAATCCAGTGCTATTAGCATCAATCTTTTTGAAGAGAGATGTGGAGAAGAATGAAGGCAGCTTGCAGATATCCTTAGCAACTGATTTAAATTCTGATACACCAAAGAGACTGGTTAAAATCTTATTCCAGTAGTACACCATAAACTCATATCTTAAGTGCATCTCACCATGCATCTGCAGTCCATCTGAGTTGCCAGAGAAAAACTGATTGATTCTAAACAAGCATTGATCTTTTAGTTCATTTGGAGGTGGGCGACCATGTAGAAAGTAAAACTACAAGTGGTACAAAATCCAAGTTAGAAATAATAATCTACCTTTCCCTCTAAAAGGAAAACCATTGCAGATAGATAGTTCAAATGATGAATGACATGCTTTACCAAAGAAACAGAAAAACAGTGCCACAAGATTGCCGAAAAAGATTAGGATTTGTCAAACCTGAGGTATCACTTCCTTAACCGGCTCGCTAACTACTTTCAGGGGAGAACCTAAATGAGAAGGACCAATCCTCTGTTTCATAATGCGAGGGGATCCAGATGAACTTCTTGGTGACAGTGGTGGTGCACTGCCGGCTGGAAACATGGAAGGCAACGTACTGCCTCCAGTGGCATGTGGACTAGAAGAGTTTCCCTGGACATTCAGGGGCCCACCTGCCTTTGCTTCAGTTAGCAGTTGTGTCACCTGCAATCATAAGTTCAGGAAAATGAAAGAACCGCCATGCATCAGAAAAGCAGGAAACAATATGAAATAATGGACAGTAAACGTATCCCAATTGAAAAATAAAACTTGTAGGGAGTAGCAATTCGAATAACTAATTACAAATACTTAAAGAACTACCTTAAGGTACTCGGAAATATAAACCCCAGGTGCTTATAATCTACAAGTTTCATCCCTTTTTTCATACTGACATGTTCACTTTAATGCTTCTTTCATCACAATGACATCGTTTCCGAACCAATTCAATACCATGGCGGGAAAATTACTACATGCTAAAATCAATTCAGCATCATTATTTCTTAGCTCTCATGCTATTTTCACACGCCAGCACAAAATACATTTACACATCCATACAAATTCTATACATATCCAGAAAAAACACACATAATTCAGTAATTCTTATATAATTAGCAAAAAACCAAGCTCACCAAATTCAAAAATTAAAAAAATGTACCCATAAATTCTTCGAAACCTAATAAGATGCACAACCAAAACAATGCAAAAACACCAAAAATTTCAAATTTTGAAGGCAAAATTCGGGTTTTCAAGTACCAGGCGATTAGTATCGGGAAGCGAAAGCCACTGCTCGAACAGCGATTCGACGTAGCTCGGATTCGATTTGAGGGCCAAAGGGGACACCTCATTGAGCTGCAACAAGTCGGCGTCAAACGACGCCGCATCCACCACGATTTCCATAGTCATTGAGACGCAAATACAGATCACGGAACCCTTGATTCGGAAATCCCAATCCCCGCAAAGTGCTTTCCTTTCGATTATATTTTGTTCCAAGTCACTGCCTTTTTGCGCGATTGGAAAAAAAAAGAAGGTGAGATTTGAAGTGGAAGAAACGCCAGATCCTTGAGGTATTGGAGTGTTTGGGGAGCGAGAAAACGGGAGAGAAAGTGAGGGGAAATGAGAGAAAATCCTTCGGCGATTGATGCACTTTTAGCTCAAAGAGGAGAGAGGGAGAGATTTGTAGAGAGAGAGAATAGCAATAGCAGCTCCAAAATTTTCTACAGAAGAGAAAAGTCGAAGAAAGATGTATACGTGTCAGTGCGGTATAGGCTCAATCTGGGATCCGCTACGGCCAGAATCATTACTTTTTCCTGCAACTTATTGCACCAACAAATAGGGATCTTCCACGTACTTACGTTGAGTTAATTTACCATTTTGCATACAACGTATATGGTTTCATTTTCCCTCGGGTTTTCTTTTCCCTTGTAATTTTCTCGGGAAACAAACAGAAAATATGAACGAAGAGGAGCTGCGTCGTTCGGAAGCAACCATGGCCGATCTTCTGAATCAATTCGAACGTATCTTGGAATCCGATCCCCAAATGTGAGCAATTCGTACTTGTATCCTATCAAAGGATCATTGATTGCAGGTTTTGCTTCTTTGTTTTTGGTAAAGATGCAGACTTTGTATTTGACGAAATGCCCCAAAGAGTTTTGTATATGTAGTTTTTATTCTTTGCTTCGATGGTGAACCTCGATAAACTGTAGTTTCCGTCTCGAAAAAGTTAGGATATTTGATCCCGAATGAGTTGTTTACATGTAAACGTATCAGCTTGTTTTGACTTGGATTTCAAATTTTTTGAAAAAGGTCAATTCAGTTTTAGTTCCATTCAAAATGTTGATTCAGTGTTAGTTCATTACTGTTAGTGAGACCGGGATTTCGATAGCGGTCCAAGTTTGCCTTGTTCTTTTGCTGAAAGTTTTTGAATTGTTTGGGTGTGTGTGTGTAATTGTGGGTGCATTACGATTTTGTGTAGAGGTTTTCTCTTTTTAGAGGGCTCTCATTAATGTCTTTGGAAAATCTAGTAATGCGACCGTTGTATGTATAATGTATTGTGTTCACTTGATGACCCAGAGATGAGGTGGGATTTCTTCACCCGTCCCAGTTTTCCGAGCTGAATAAAGAGGCAGGCCATTCACCCTCATTTGATGACAGTACTGTGCTGCGCTCGGCAGATGGAAACTCAGTTTTTTGGAATAGGGATCATAAGTTGGGGATTTCAACGCAAATTCTTCTTCCATTATATAAGACAGCTAAGCATGCGTTTATGGCAGCAAGTAGACAATATAAGGCACTTAACAGCAAATCTGATGTATCCGGGGATGAGAATTCTCTGTGTGCGTCATTATCTTTGGATAACAGTTTCGAAGGTGACGTCATGAAGCATAGCAGGGCACTTTTGTTGCTAAGTTGTGATTTCGGCACTGCATGGCATTCCAGGTTTTCCCCCTTTTCATTTTTGGTTCAGTAGTCCTTGTTTTCTCTCTCTTATATATCAACAATTTTGGAGCTGCTTGATCTTGTATGCTTTTCAATTTATGTCATGACACCTAATTGATCTTGTATATTTGACCCAGGAAACTTGTTGTGTCGCATAAGCATAAGCTCTCGGATTTTTTGGATGAACTTCTCTTGTCGGCACTTGTTCTTTCATATTCACCTAAGTCTGAGTATGCTTGGAGCCATAGGTAACATCTTTAAAAAAATGGTTTTCGTTATATGTTTAACAACTGGCATGATTCTATAGTTTCTTATTTGTAAGTACTCGGCAGGGTGTGGTTTAATTGAGCCCCTCATTATAGTTTCCCTATGTAATGGCTTTAAAACACAAATTTTATGAACATATCGATCATTGCAGGCAGTGGATCATCAAGTCAATTGCTGGAAAGTGTTCAACTCTGTCAGAGATTGTGACCAAAGACTCTGAGCTGGTGGAGAAAATAGCTGAGGTTTAAATTCAGTTCAGGAACTGCATGCTTTTAATTTTCAAGGTTTATTTAAACTTTAAATCAATTATCCTATGTGTTGTTTTTGGTCAGTCTCGTTGTTGCTTTCGTAAAGAAAACAACATAATTCACACCACTTTAAAGACTTGAGAAATGCCTTCCATCGCTCCTACTGAGCTGACAAATTTTTCTGTACCAAACTAGAGCCGATAATAGTTGTATCTTTGCCCAACATAATGTGCAGTGTCCATGGTTTGAATAGCAATGTTTATTCTGTGTGGCATTTTATAGCTTCCACAATGTTCTTAGTTGTGAGAATTTTCCTTGTCATTGTTCACTTTTCTGTAATTAAAATCTTTCTTTACAGAGGTCAAAAATGAATTACCGTGCTTGGAATCATCGTTGCTGGTTGGTTACCTACATGACAAGAGAACAGGTTAGATATAATCCTGCCATTCCTTTTGCGGGAATAATTCAGGTTCCCTTCTAGATTTTCATATTTTAGATGTTATAATGTTTTGCGAACAATTTTGAGCCAAATTGCACTCCAATAAATTTGGAAAGGGTGAGCGGAGGATTGTATTTAAGCCTTTCATTCTCAAAAGACGCCATTAAGATTTCCTCTGTTAAAAAGTTGTGACACATCTACAAGTTAACTGTTGCTTTCGTTCAGTTCTTAGTCCAACAACATACTTATATTACATATCTATTTTTCGTATGGTTATCATTATTAACTATATGCACTCTAAATGTGTGCTTGCAGTTGTTATATGAATTAAAAAGATCCAGAAACTGGGCCTCCTTGCATGTTGCTGATCATAGTTGCTTCCATTATCGCAGTGTGAGACCTTGTCTTCTTTTTGTTGTGATTCTGAGAGATGAAGTTTTTGACATGCGGACTTTATTTCCTTCACAATCAATGTTTCTATCATTTTTCAGCGGCTGATGCTTAAGATTTTAGAAGAGCAATGCTATAAACAAGAAATTTCATCTTCTGGTTACAGCGTTGAGACATATCAATTGTGGAAGGTACAGTCTCTTTTCAGTAATTATGAAATCATCAGTTCCTACAGGCGAGCGCTTTGTACAGTTAATACTTGTGTCAAATTTGTCTTTTCGTTGTATGTGAAATTAAGTTTAAATTCACTGCTTAAAAATATGGGCATGTCAGGAAGAGCTTGATTGGGATGAAATGTTGATAAAGCGCTACATAGGAAGAGAGGTACATGGGGTTGTTTTCGTATATTTGACTGATCATCTGAGAACCCCATGGGTTTTAATTTCTATGGTATTCGCTGTAAACAGGCTCTATGGCTTCATCGTCGCTTCCTTTCCTTATTTTGGATAAAGCATTTCATAACCAATCATACTGGTGTGTCCAGCCACGGGAAGCAGAATAACAGCATGAATAACGACTTCAGAATATTTATGGATAACGAGCTACATCTCCTCGACTCCTGCTCAATCATTCCAGATAATAGCTTTGACGATTACCAATCACAGGCTAAACATTCTGCCACTTACATATTATGGTTGATTAAGGTAACGGTAGTTTCCCTCCGTTTAAAATTTGTTGCAACTCTACACAATCCACTTCTATCAAGTTTTCTGGATGCTTATGTTGCTCTTACCTGCCTCAGCAAATCCCTGATTCCCGACGGATTGAATTTCAAGAGAAGCTGAAAACCGAAAACCTAAAAGCTCTGTTGAATAAGGCGTGCCCGGAGAGGTCCTCAACTTGGGATTCTTTAGTGAGCTATGTAGAAGCAGCTGGACATTAGTTGAGCGAGAGTTAGCCCCCGGAAAATATATGTGTAGCACATTTTGTGTTGTAAACTTGTAAACTTCTTCCTCTTTTCGTTTGAATCGTTCAAATTATAATGTACAATGTCATACATCATGATTAATGCATATCATGTTACTGAAGGCTGTTTTCTTATCCGGATTTTTGGAGTATCAAAGCAGCCTTGCAAAAGGAACTGTGTTAACATGAACCTTGCTAAAATTTCTTCGGAGTTGGGTTTGGCTAGTGGATCACATCGCCCGTCTGGCCATGCACATAAGGAGTAACACACGCAAATCTCACTCAACCTGATGCCTGACCCACCCCATTGCTAGGGGTATCGCTATGTTGTGCAACGGGTGAGCTTCAGTAGGGTATGCCCCCACGTCGGCGCTACCTTGCTCACAAATCCGCCCTTGTGTTTGGAGTTCTTCAGTCCGAATGCCCATGTTACGTGGATGTTGGGCCAAAGACCCAACAGGTGCACCACAAACGATGGGGCCAGAATACAAGAGAGGTGGGACTGGGTGAGATGTTTTTGTGTCTTGGGCGGATGGTTGAGTTGGCACAACCATCCGCACCCAAGAATTTCTTCTGTATTTGGGTTCATGCCGCCCCACCGTTTATGACATCGGGTGACCTACGACGGACCCAAAAATTTCTCCACTTGCTGGACCCAACCCAAGTTTCGAGTTCACATTTATGCCCCGGCCCAAAACACCAAAAACATCTGCAAGTTACGACGTGCGACCAGATTCCTTATCCTATCCAAAACCACGTCCTGAAATCCAACCGGAATCCTTGTCTATGATATCCATGTCCCAACATGTTTCCAATTTTGTCCATGCAAATCTCCAAACTTTCTGCAAAAACAATTTCTCCATGAGAGCTGAAAAAACACCTCAACAAATCCTCCACCAATGACAACAGTTGCCGCCAAGCTGTTGCCTCAGAGCCTCCACGTCACCACCCACCGGAACCCCTCCTCCCACCAGACCAGTGCCGTGAGCTGCAGGGTTTGCATTTCGTCAAACGGCGGAAACCACCGCAGAAACCCGCCAAAGGCGGCGGCTTTCGCCAAAGCAAGACCGACCCAGTTGCAGAACAACGATGTCAAGGAAACCCATTTGGTGAAACCCTCGTCCCGCCAAACCAATGCCTTGAGATGCGGGGTTTGCATTTCGTCCAACCCCGGAAACCGCCGCAGAAATCGGCCAAAGGCGGCGGCTTCCGCCGAAGCAAGACCGACCCAGTTGCAGAACAATGATGTCAAAGAAACCCATTTGGTGAAAGTCCTCAACAGGTCCTGCAAAGCAGGGCAGTACAATGAAGCACTCTACTTTCTTGAGCTGATGGTGAACAAGGGGTACAAGCCCGACGTGATCCTCTGCACAAAGCTCATCAAAGGGTTCTTCAATTCGAGAAACGTCGAAAAGGCCGTTCGGGTTATGCAGATTTTGGAGAAGTATGGTGAGCCTGATTTGTTTTCATACAATGCGTTGATCAGCGGGTTCTGTAAGGCGAATCGGATTGATGCAGCAAACAAAGTGCTTGATAGGATGAGGAGCCAGGGGTTCTCACCCGATGTTGTTACTTACAATATAATGATTGGGAGTCTTTGTGGGAGGGGGAAGCTAGGATTAGCTTTGAAGGTTTTGGATCAGTTGGTGAAGGATAATTGCAGGCCAACTGTGATTACTTACACGATTTTGATCGAAGCAACGATTCCTGAAGGCGGAATTGATGAAGCAATGAAGCTTTTGGATGAGATGTTGTCAAGAGGGCTTAAACCTGACATGCATACTTACAATGCAGTTGTTAGGGGAATGTGCAGAGAAGGGATGCTGGATAGGGCTTTCGAGTTTGTTAGGAGCTTAGATTCGAAGGGATGTTCGCCTAATGGAGTCTCGTACAACATTTTGTTACGAGCGCTATTGAATCGAGGTAAATGGGAAGAAGGGGAGAAGCTGGTGAGCAATATGTGTTCGAGAGGCTGTGAGCCGAACGTGGTGACTTACAGCATTTTGATTAGCACGCTGTGTCGCGATGGCAAAGTCGAGGATGCAGTGAATGTGTTAAAGATCATGAAGGACAAGGGATTGACTCCGGATGCGTATAGTTATGATCCGTTGGTTTCTGCTTTCTGCAAAGAGGGGAGATTGGATTTGGCAATAGAGTTTTTGGATTACATGATATCGGATGGCTGCTTGCCGGATATTGTGAACTACAATACGATATTGGCTGCGTTGTGTAAGAGTGGAAAAGCTGATCAGGCTTTGCAAATCTTCGAGAACCTCGGTGAAGTGGGATGTCCTCCGAATGTGAGCTCATACAACACCATGTTCAGTGCACTGTGGAACTGTGGAGACAGAGTTCGAGCTTTGCAAATGGTATCAGAAATGGTAAGCAAAGGAATTGATCCCGATGGGATTACTTACAATTCGCTTATATCGTGTTTGTGCAGAGATGGGATGGTGAATGAGGCTATAGGGTTGTTGGTAGACATGGAAACTGGTGGCTTTCAGCCAACAGTTATCAGTTACAACATTGTTCTTCTCGGGTTGTGCAAAACGCGTAGGATTGTCGATGCCATTGAAGTGCTCGCGGCAATGGTTGAAAAGGGGTGCCGGCCAAATGAAACCACCTACACTCTGTTGATTGAAGGAATTGGTTTCGCAGGATGGCGAGCTGAAGCGATGCAGCTTGCCCACTCAGTTTTTAGTATAAGGGCGATTTCCGAAGATTCGTTCAGACGTTTGAATAGAACCTTTCCCATGCTTGATGTGTACAAAGAGCTTACTCTGTCTGAGATCAAGAACTAGCTTTTGGTTTGTAGCTACAAAGAGGAATTAGTTGGATTAAAAGACTATTTTAGGCTCAGCAGAAACCTGTATCCACTTACTAATGAGAGAACTGCCTTGCAGGGCAGATGTGGCATTTTATGAGTGTTGATCTTTCTTTTGGAACACAGAAAAAGGAGATTTAGCAAAATTTATTGTGAACATTTGCTAGAGACATGTTCTCTCCTATTTCATCTCCGTTTTTTTGTATCTGTTTTTCCAACAGATAATTCGCTTCAGCAGCGAAGAATGTCTGAAACTCTTAGAGCCTGTTTGGTATCCTATTTGAAATTTTTTATCATTTCTCAAAACATTTCTTGAAAATAATTTTTTCTAAGACTAAAAAACTTGATTGGTTTGCGATTTAAAAATTTTAAATCTTATGACTTAAACTTGATTGGATTGGAGGGGAGATGAAAAAGGTAATAAAAAAAGGAGAAAGAAAGAAGAAAAGAGAGATAGATTTGGAGTGAGAGGACGGCAATAAGGCCGGCGATGCTGTATGGCACAGAATGTTGGGCGGTGAAGTATCAACACGTACACAAAATGGGTGTAGCGGAGATGAGGATGCTTCGTTGGATGTGTGGGCACACGAGAAAGGATAAGATTAGGAATGAGGATATCCGGGGTAAAGTAGGAGTAGCCGAAATTGAAGGAAAGATGAGAGAAAATCGGTTACGGTGGTTTGGACATGTGCAAAGAAGGCCTACTGACGCTCCGATTAGAAGATGCGACTATGGGACAGAGGTTCAGGGCCGAAGGGGCAGAGGAAGACCTAGGAAAACTTTGGAAGAGACCCTAAGAAAAGACTTAGAGTACTTGGATCTAACGGAGGACATGACACAGGACAGAACACAATGGCGTTCTAAGATTCATATAGCCGATCCCACTCAGTGACTTGGATTTTCCAAGTCTCCAACCAAGAAGTTTTCCTCACTTGGGAAATTAAGGGAACACTACCTCAACCTATATGCTCCACTCACAAAGCTTCAACGTACAAGCTTCAACAAAAGAAAATTCAAAGAACTTAGCGAAGAAGGTTTTGGTGTATTTAACACAATACGTTGAAATGAAGGAAAGCTTATTTATTGATATCCCCGATAAGTTACAAATATGTACATATACTTGAGTCAAAATAAACAAACAAGAGGGAACCTTCACAAAGGTTGCTTAGGAGAAGTCTCAGCAGTCGGTAGAGCCCCAGAAAGAGAAGGCACCGGAGGAGGATCATTCGGAGCCTCAGTACTGGACAAAACCCTAGAAGGAGGAGGCATCAGAGGTTGATCATTTGGAGCTTCATTACGCGGTACAGCCCCAGAAGACGAAGGCAATAAATGCCTTTGGAACAAACCCACAAATCTCTCATGATCAAGTAAAACCTGACCATCAGATTCCTTCATCTGGTCAAGCTTCCTCTTCATGTTTGTAGCATAGTCATGTGCGAGCCGGTGCAACTGTTTATTCTCATGCTTGAGCCCTCTAATCTCCTGTTTGAGACTCATCACTTCAGCCGCCAATGATTCAACTTGGCGGGTTCGAGCAAATAGGCGTTGGGCTATATTAGACACAGAACCTGCACACTGAACACTGAGAGCCAGAGAATCCTTAACAGCCAACTCATCAGACCGTTTGGAAAGTAGTCTGTTATCTTTGGGAGTGAGAAGGTTCCTGGCCACTACCACAGCGGTCATATCATTCTTCATCACGGAATCCCCAACGGTAAGAGGACCAATAGGGGAGACGAATGATGGGCGCCATATGTTGTCTGGAGAAGGCAGGGCTGCCTCTTCAATAAGGTTCAAGTCAAAACGACGGTCGGAGGGGCCAGACATTTTCAAAGGTGTTGAAGAGAGAAGAGGTCGGACAAATCAAGATCTTAGAAGTGCAAGAATGGAGCTTCTACTGGTGGATATTCAAGTGTGCTTTGGAACTTAATATCAGCCCCTATAAAAATCTGCACTCGACAAAGCTTCAGAAATTGAAGAGGCGCCTGCTCAGAAATCAAAGAGGCGTTTGCTTTCTCAAAAGATGTGCTGCTCAGAGACCACGAGGGTCGATCTCAGAAATCGAAGAGGCGTTTGCTTTCTCAAAAGCTGGGCTGCTCAAAGACCACGAAGGCCGATCTCAGAAATCGAAGAGGCTTGCTTTCTCAAAAGCTGGGATGTTCAGAGACCACGAGGGCGGATCTCAGAAATCGAAGAGGCACCTACTTTTCCAGCCTTGTCAACACCTGCCACACGCACACTCAGCTTTGCGGAAATTATGGGCATTCTGTCGAAGATTTCTGACGAAGTAGAAAGCACATGAATCGTACTGTTCAATCACCCACTTCCCACACGCAACAGTAGCTCATGGGTACCACAGATAACTTTGCCAAAGTTCTCTGACAAAGTTGAGACACGTGAAGCTTGCAGCTCCCACTACATCGCTCTGACCAAGAAGGGTAAAAGAATTGCAAAGAAACAACACTAACAAAGTTTAAACACATAAATTTTGAAGGTCTAGCTACCATATTATTACCCACAAGGGTAAAGGAACAGTACCACTGCTGGATAATTGGAAAGTCCCGGTGTGTCAACCTCTGTGCTTCGTGGCAAGGTAGACTAGCAAACATGCCCAACCTGTACTCACATTCGAGAAAACACTCCCAACAAGATTGCTTGCTCTAAAATCGAAGAGGCACCGCCCTCCGAATCTCGAGAGCCAGACTCCCAACATGATTACTTTCTCAAAAATCGAAGAGAGGGTAAAGGAACAGTACCACTGCTGGATAATTGGAAAGTCCCTGTGTGTCAACCTTTGTACTTCGTGGCAAGGTAGACTAGCAAACATGCCCAACATTTACTCACATTCGAGAAAACACTCCCAACAAGATTGCTTGCTCCAAAATCGAAGAGGCACCGCCCTCCGAATCTCGAGAGCCAGACTCCCAACATGATTACTTTCTCAAAAATCGAAGAGAGGGTAAAGGAACAGTACCACTGCTGGATAATTGGAAAGTCTCTGTGTGTCAACCTCTGTGTTTCGTGGCAAGGTAGACTAGCAAACACGTCCAACCTTTACTCACATTCGAGAAAACACTCCCAACAAGATTGCTTGCTCCAAAATCGAAGAGGCACCGCCCTTCGAATCTCGAGAGCCAGACTCCCAACATGATTACTTTCTCAAAAATCGAAGAGACACCGCTCTCCGAATCTCGAGAGCCAGACCCCCAGCAGGATTGCTTTCTCAAAAATCGAAGAGGCATCGTTCTCCGAATCTCGAGAGCCAGATCCCCGACAGGATTGCTTGTTCGAAAATCGAAGAGGCACCACTTTCCCAACTTCAAGAGCTGGATCTCCTTGGATAAAGCTTGTCTGTAATCTTCACACGCAACATCAGCTTTCCAGATACCACAGACCACTTTTTCAAAGTGCTCTGACAGAGTTAAAACATGTGAAGCTGGCAGCTCCCACTACCGTGCTATGAACCAAGCAGGGTAAAGGAATAACATTATTACTTGATGTTAGGGAGACTCCTATATATGTCGACCTCCATCCCTAACGGACAGGCAGACCTGCAAAAATGCTCAACCCTTTCTCTTATCTGAGAAGGCACTTCCAACGAAGCCTTTCGAAATATTCAGCTTTCTTTCCCCCCGATAATACCTCTGTAAACAAGCTATATACTAGAGCAAGAATATCTCATATCATCAGGGTTAAAAGCAAGAGTATCCCATATCATGCTTTTTTCCCTGTCTTTTCCTTTGGCCTTGTTCTTACCTGCAAGACAAGGAGAAAGAGAGCAATCAGTCAGCACTTGGAATCAAGCTTCCAGCCAGGAACTGACTGCCTGGAACCCCTTACCTGATTACTTACCTGGCATTGCTCTCGAGTACTCATCTTCAACATCTTATGCTTCCAGGAAAGATACCGCATCTGCCTGAGGAACAAATAGGGCAAGTGAGAAGGATACAAGGAAGCATGTGGAGACAAGCGTAACAGCACACGTGCCGATACATCCACTACTCTGTCAAAAGCAAAAGTATCCCATATCAGCAGGGTCGAACGTACTCTAGATTTGATGGACTTGTTTTGACCCTCAAATTCTTCAGTCGGCCTTATACTTTGGAGGAAACCAGAAAACCCTCCAGCCCAGTTCAAGAATAAGCCTGTGGAAAGTTACTTCTTCAAAAGCAAAAGTATCTCATATCATATCTCCTCATTTTTCTTCTCTTTATCCTTCATGCTGCCTGCAAGATAGGGAGAATGTTAACAATCAGCCGGAGCTCTGATTGCTTACCTTGTCTGTCGCCTCTTTCAGCAGATCCCCTAGCTCGGCGACTTGGGGGACTCCTACTACATGGTTTGTATCGCGCTTTACCAAGCATGAAACTACAAGTAAGCTTCAAGTGAAATTGATACATTACCTTGTGCATATCCACCAGTTACAGATACCACCCCTGGATGGAGGAAGTGTACTTCCAGAGAAGATGCCACATCTACCTATGAGACAGATAAGGCAAGTCAAGACGATACCACACTCCGGTACTTAGAAGTTTCGTGGCTACGAGATCATTCTCCCACAATATTTCCTAATGTCATTTGTACTAAATCATTCACTTGTACTCACTAAAGGAGAGCTTGAACCTATGTACTTGTGTAAACCCTTCACAATTAATGAGAACTCCTCTATTCCGTGGACGTAGCCAATCTGGGTGAACCACGTACATCTTGTGTTTGCTTTTGTGTAAACCCTTCACAATTAATGAGAACTCCTCTATTCCGTGGACGTAGCCAATCTGGGTGAACCACGTACATCTTGTGTTTGCTTTCCTATCTCTATCCATTTATATACTTATCCACACTAATGACCGGAGCAATCTAGCGAAGATCACAAAAAGTGACCGTTTTCGCTACCTAGGATCTATCTTGCAAGAGAACGGAGAATTAGATGGAGATCTCAACCATAGAATACAAGCTGGATGGATGAAGTGTAAGAGTGCATCCGGCGTGTTGTGTGACCGTCGTAGGCCACTGAAGCTCAAGGGAAAATTTTATAGGACGGCAATAAGGCCAGCGATGTTGTATGGCACAGAATGTTGGGCAGTGAAGCATCAACGTACACAAAATGGGTGTAGCGGAGATGAGGATGCTTCGTGGGATGTATGGGCACACGAGAAAGGATAAGATTGGGAATGAGGTTATCCGAGGTAAAGTAGGAGTAGCCAAAATTGAAGGAAATATGAGAGAAAATCGGTTCTGGTGGTTTGGACATGTGCAAAGAAGGCCTACTGACGCTCCGGTTCGAAAATGACTACGGGACAGATGTTCAGGGCCGAAGGGGTAGAGGAAGACCTAGGAAAACTTTGGAAGAGATCCTAAGAAAAGACTTGAGTACTTGGATCTAACGGAGGACATGACACAAAACCGAGCGCAATGGTGTTCTAGGATTCATATAGCCGACCCCACTTAGTGGGAAAAGGCTTTGTTGTTGTTGTTGTTGTAGTCTTAAGTTCAGTTTTTAAAAATAGTCCTACCAAACAAGTTTTTAAGGCCTAAAACTTGAAAAGTGTTTTTGAGTTAAAAAAATTAGATTCAACCAAACAGGCCCTAAATATCTCCTATCTAGCAAAAACATGAACAGCATCAAGTCCACGTAAACGAGTTTACTTTGACAAACTCGTGTTCTTAGTTAACGTGGATACACAGATCTTTTGCAACAGAACTTTCAGCAAGAAAAAGAAAAGATATTCAGTACTCAAAAAATAAAATCTACGAACGAAAAGATAAGATATCAAGAAAAATGGCCATATTTAAAGATGAATTCAGTGTAGAATATCGTTTGTATCAAAGGGAAAAAAAGATACAGAAACTATCAAGCAGAAAAGACTTCTGGCAAAACATTATCAGAGAAAAGCAGTTGACAAATGGCAATCTAGATGCCCAGAAGAAGTAACAAAGTCAAAATTTTGCGTAAACCTGATCTAGTTTACCATGATCTCTTCACTTAAAACCTTCCACTCGATCAGCTTTTGATGCAACTCATCGGCCTCTTTTGTCATACCAGCAGCGGCTACACCTTCAATTATAGTTGAATAAATTGCCTCATCTGGCATGCTTCGATTTGACATCATCATTTCTAGGACTTGTATTGCAATATCAACTCTCTTCTTTCTACATAATCCATGGATCACAAATTTGTAAGACATATTACGGACCGGATGGCCTCTCTTATGCATCTCCTTCAGTATCAGAACAGCTTCCTCAACTAGATTCGCCCGGCAAAACCCACCTACCAAAGAACGATGAGTAATTTCATCAGGAATGATTCCATTTTCTACCATTTGACCATACAATCCCATAGCTTTCTCCATGCAACCTGTCTTAGCCAATCCGTCAATCACAGTATTGTAAGTGATTAAACCAGGCGATCGACTGGTGCCACTTAGAAGATTAAGTAATTCGAGGGCCTGATCAATCATTCCCGTCCTACAAAGAGCGCCCAGGAGTGTGTTATAAGTAATGATGTCGGGATAACAATTCTGAGAAACCATTTGAGTAAAGAAGTTGACGGCACGATCTACAATCCCAAATTTACACAAACCATTGATCAAAATATTGTAAGTAACAACTGTAGGGGGTTCGGAAGTTTCATTCATGATTGTGAGGATTTCATCGGCTTCCTCCCAACACCCACGGCTGCAAAGAGAATGGAGAATCGTGTTGTAAGTAATGGTGTTGGGCTTCAACCCCAGAGATAGAAGACTATGTATAACCAAAGCAGTATCTTCAAGCTTATTCTGTCTGGAAGTGAAGTTAATCAGAGAATTGAAGGTAACAATATCAGGATAACATCCTTCTGCCACCATATCACCCAAAACTTCCACAGCTTGCATCGTTCCACAGTGTCTGCAGACTAGCTCAATGAGAATTGTGTAGGTGACTATATAAGGAGGGCATCCCTTTCTCAGTTGGTCCTTCCAAAACGCAATCGCCTGGTCATAATTCCCAAATGTAAACATGCAACGAATTATAGTATTGTAAGTAATCACATCTGGAGGGCAACCACTCACGCTCATGTCTTCCACAAGATCGATTGCAGAGCTTAACTGTCCACTCTTACATAAACCTCCAACCATCATGTTATATGTGATAATATCTGGAACCCCACCAGACATGATCATGATCTTTAGAACTTTTTCAGCTTTATCTAATCGATCTGTTTTGATAAGGCCTCGGATTAAGTTTGTGCAAGAAGGGAAGTACGGAACTTGGTTTTGACGTGCCATGACCTCAACCAATCTCGATGCATGAATTAACTTCCCACGGGTGCAAAAGTTCCGAAGAATATCATTATTGGTCTCCTCAGCATTTCCCACAAAGCGCCCTTCGACATTCAATACAAAACCATTATGAGGCTTCTTGTTATTCGTTTCCTCTCCAGATTTTTTCTCAAAACCCATCTCATCACTATCAAAGCCCCATTCATCGAGGGGAACTTCATGGACTCTATCAATACAAACACTTCGCTGAAAACTCCTACGCTGTGAAACACCCGCATTTCTTTTGGAACTAACATCTCCTCTCCATTGTAAAGAATAATGAGCTTCACGATTATACTTCCTTAAAACTGTTGATATTGAGAGATGGCTGATGCCACAACCGGGGTTAACTTGCTTTCCACACCCATACAAACAACCAACATCAACAGCACCACTCTGTTGGGTAATCGTACATGCCATTTATCTCCTTCGGCTTGAATAAATGAAGTCAAACAATGATAGGAAGACCAACAAGAAGCAAATCTTGTAATCCAGTTATCCCTCTTCACTATAATCCAAAGCAATGAACATCTTCTAGATTATCACAAACGCGAAATAAGCAAAACAATAATTCCGCTATCTATACTCTTATGCTTCAGATTGAGAACCACAACTGTGAAAAGGTTCAATGAAAAATATCAATACCAGCAAATTTCATAAAACGAAAAGGTGGCAAAGGAATTAACCAAACACAATTACGAAAACAATACGAAAAAACAACCTTTCAGCTCACCAAATATATATATATATATATATATGTATGTATGTATGTATGTATGTATGTATGTGTGTATGTATGTATATGTGTGTGTGTGTGTATATATATATTCATTTCATTCCTAGATAAAGGATAACAAGTTCAAAGTCCCAACTGTGAAATGGGTTATCAATTCGGTAGATAATTCACAATAAAGTTCCATTCTTTACCAAAATTCACACACCCCAACTTCTCTTTTCTTATTTTCAACAGTTATAAGTGCTTCAACGTCAAGCACCTGTCAGATGCTTCTCCAAACAGCAATTTCCAATTGCCTTGCCTTTTCAGGAAGCACTTTGGTTTTCAATGAAAATTTCAACACTTCCAGCAGAAGTGCTTCAAAAGCAATCAGAAACGAGCCCTTAGGCCAATCCACTAACCCACATCAGAATTCATACCCATTTCAGCTTCAGCTTTTACAGTTTCATTACACTGCAACACATCTAGTATAAAACCAAATAAACGTATACAAATACGTATAAATACATACATACATATATATATAAAGAGAGAGATAAAGAAGCGTACTTTGACGGTGGGTTTTAGGTCGGTGCTTCTGTGTAGCAGTGAGAGATGAAGGAAAGCTCTGTTTTTTTTTTTTTGGGTAATGGAAAGAAAAGCTCGTTGATGCTGATAAAGTTGAGAAGGCGGACGTTACTAGGGACTAGGGTTTTGTCAAATTAGCAATCGAGGTCAAATGACATGTTTAATGAATTGCACTAACCTCCACTCAACTTGATAAAATTAGACATTCCTCCCCTCAAAGTGGTAAATTTACCTTATTATGCACAAACAAATAAACAATCTCAATCAAATAGAGAGATGAGCGCAATTCGGTTCAAACCGCTTTAATTTCAAAGTCGAAGATAGATTAATAAAATCGGTTTTTTTTTTTGGGAAGAGAGAGATATGAGACGAACAATGAAATGAATGAAAAATGAAAGATAGAAAGTTGTGAAAAGAAAAACAGGAAGTGAAAAAAAGAGTATTATCGACTATATGATTTTCATAACGTCATTCACTTGTTCTTACACTGTATTGATAGTGTGAGGTCTTCGGAAAAAACAAACATGTAAACAATTATAAATAGGAAAAATCCGATCTGAGTTTCAACTGATCCGGTCTAAAACCGATGAACTTGATTCGATTCGGTTTGGTTCGATTCGGTTCACAAGTTAATAGGTTCAAATGTCCACCCAAAACAGCCACGTCTAAAAGAAAAACCCTGTGAAAAATCACATTATTTACTCCCTCTCTGTCTCTCTCTCTCTCCTCTCACGTTTACTCTCTGAAACAACTCCTCTTGCAGACAAATACTCATCCTCCATCTCGCTCTCTCTGGTGATCTAATCTTTTCCTCTTAGGTACTAATCACCAAGATTAATTCTTTATCTCATTTCCTTAATCACCAAGCTCAATCCTTTCTTCCAATGTTCTTGTAGCCACTCAAGAACAATCAATATGCATTGGATTGAATCCAAGATGTCTATCTATAGACATATCTGTATGAATATTCAGTGACCTTGTGTAATTTTTTTGATTTGTTTTGAACAGAGGGACTTTGGGTGAGGAAAAAGATGCATGGATTTCCAGAGGGAGTAGGAAAAGCGGCGGACTTGGGGCAGCTGCAGTCCACCATGCACACCATCGAGCTCGCCTGCACTTCCATTCAGGTCCAATTTTTTGCTCTCTCTCTTTTTTTTTTGGGTTTTGAATTCATGGGTTTTTATGAGAAAACGAACAAGAACTAGACTTGGTCGGAAACACGAAAAACCCACATTCCCAGTTGCTGGAAAGTTGGGCATAAAAGCAGAAATGGTGGAAAATTTATCCAAGAATGCAAGCTTTGATGTTTCGTGTAGCTTTTCGTTAATGTGATTAGTGAGTTTGAGGAATTTGGATTATACTAGAGACTGCAAAAGCTGAAATTTTGGATACCAAATGACGTGATAATACTGAAAGAATTTTGTAATGTATGAGTACAATTTGTGAATGGTTATTAGTTTTGCAATCCTGTTTTCGGTTTTAGCGGCCTTTTGCATGTGTATTTTATTGTGGAAAAGTTTGAACTTGAATAAATATTTTTGGTCATTTCTGGCAACATTGCATAATGTTTTGAATGTTTGCTTGATTTTGCACTTCCCTTTTATATTTTTGTTCGTTTTTTGGCTGGTCGGGTGCTGTTTTGTCGTTTAAATATACCTGTATACATGTATCTGTGCTTTTAAAGGCATGCATATTTGTGCACGAACACCCTCCCTCTTACATATGGTTGAACCTTGAGCAGATGCATATGAATTCGGCTGCAGCTGAGGCAACTATTTTGTCGCTGTCCCAGACCCCCCAACCATACCAGGCATGTAAATTCATTCTTGGTAAGTTAAAGTAGACACAAATTTTGGTTTTTTTTATTCCGTAATTAGCTATGTATTTGCCTGACATGCTTCTCGTCATCCTGTCTGGAATATATAGTTAAATAACTGACATGAGCTGACAATAATGGAAGCAGGATTGCTGTATTTGATGGTTCAAATTAACAATACAGAGTTTGGATAACTTATATTGTCATTTTGAAGATGTCCTATCTAGTTATTATGCTAACAGTGATTTTATAATTTCAGAGAACTCTCAAATGGCAAATGCAAGGTTTGAGGCTGCAGCAGCAATTCGAAATGCAGCAATTAGAGAATGGAGTTCTCTTAGCTCTGATGACAAGAAAAGCATGATCAGGTTCTTATAGCTTGTTTCTTCGTTTCCAAGCAATATTGATAAACTATTCCTCAACTATTAAAGTTTCATTACTTCAGAAAAAAGAGAAGTAATAATATTAGTTCGCAATTAGAGTTCTTCGTGAAATAGCTTATTTGGTATAGTTCTTATCATATATAATGACATATCTTAGCCTATACATTTGTCCATCATTCCTTGAATGTATTTGTATATATTTTTCTTGCAGTTTTTGTCTTTGTTTTGTTATGCAACATGCTAATTCACCTGAGGGCTATGTCCAAGCAAAAGTATCTTCCGTGGCAGCTCAATTGTTGAAAAGGGGCTGGTAAGTGGTGCATGATTTCAACGTAAATGCACATGTTATGTATTTGTATGTTATTACTTCTTCTGATTTGTATCTTGCAATTATGAACATGAGCCTATCTTGGACACAGTATTCTACCTGAATTACCACACATTGTAATTCTTCGCTTTCATATTTCATGTTTCTAAGGGAAGTAAAGAAGTCCAGTTCTTAAAAAACATAGACCTGAGTTGAGGAATATTCTATTTCCAGAGAGGCGAACGTAGAAATTAAGTGAATTCTTAAACAAGCTTGGGATGAGTAAGATGGTGTGTTTGAAATTTGGAATACAATGTGGTCATTTCCTTTGAAAAGCTGACAATGTGAAAGCCAAACTGAGTTAAGAAATAGTTTCATAATTAGAGGATGACTTTCTTCACTTCTGCTTGAGTTGATGATTTTGAGGGAAATGCTTAGTATTCTCTGTAACAGTTTCCCTCCATTAAAGTTCAGGAGCTGCTGTTGTTGCACTTCTGCATAAATTTTTGGTTTGGTTATGAAGAAAAGGAAACTTTGGAAATGTAATTATTTTGCCAACTATGATGTGCAGGCTTGAATTTTCAGTTAGTGATAAGGAGGCATTTTTCTATCAGGTACAAAATTTCTACACTAGACCTCTTTTTTATTCCGAGGTATCCAGGATTTTTAGAGCAGCCAATTATGACTACAGGTAAACCAGGCTGCTTATGGCATTCATGGTGTAGATGTGCAGTTCGCTGGAATTAATTTTGTCGAATCTCTGGTATAAGCTTACTTCACCTTTAGATCATTTAGTTTCTGATTGGTTTTGCTTCAGCATTTAAGATTTTACAAATTTAGGACTATGGATTTCTTTTGTTTTAGGTTTCTGAATTTTCCCCATCTACTTCAAGTCCGATGGGTCTTCCTAGAGAGTTTCATGAGCATTGCCGGAAGTCATTAGAGCAAGACCATTTGAAGGTTCACTACTGTTGTTTGCATCATGTCATTTGATACATTCGGTTTCTTTTGTATGGCTAGAAATTTTCCATTGAGATAATGAATGTAGGCATGTTTTTTTATTTCCTGATTTCATTTCTTTCTTCTTACACATTGCTGTTTTGGTTATTTCAATAATAGACATTCTATTGCTGGGCAAGAGATGCTGCTTTAAGTGTGACAAATAGAATAGTTGAGTCTGACTCTGCGGTACCTGAGGTTAAAGTCTGTACTGCTGCGCTGCGTCTCATGCTTCAAATTCTGAATTGGGAATTCAGTACAAGTGCATTTGCCGCTGGAGTCAAGCAAGGCAGTGATTCTCCTAAGAGGTCAGAGTGTAACTTAGTGCAGGTAATTGCTTCTTTAAAGTAGCATTAAGATTTGTGTTAAAGAGAAAGGTTGTTGGTATGATAGAAAGCACTGATGAGTTATGAGAATGAATCTAATTGTGTTGATGCGTCATCTTGATAGATATACCAACTCATTCCTGCTTACCACCTTTCTTTTGATTGTTCCTGGTTTCTGAAATAACATATTAGTTGACCAAATATCAGCAAATGTTATAAATGTTATGTATGAAGATAATAAGATAATATAATCACGATACTAATAATATTATTCCTATTACTGCTATTTTTGGCAAACATTTGCACTTTCTTAAAATCCTCTAACTGCGTAATGTTCAACCATACTGAAATATGGCATGGTCTTGATGTGGTTTAGATTGACGAGTTTTCTGTCTGTCTATCCTACTTGTAGCCTGGTCCAGCTTGGCATGATGTTTTGGTTTCTAGTGGCCATATAGGGTGGCTCTTGAGCTTATATGGCGCTCTAAGGCAGAAGTTTCTGTGTGAAGGTTATTGGCTTGATTGCCCCATAGCTGTTGCTGCCCGAAAGTTAATTGTACAGTTTTGCTCCCTGACAGGAACCATATTTCCATCTGGTACAGTTGTTTCCTGTTCTACCTGTTCTATAACTGTAGCATGCTTTCGTTTTTCCTATATGAATAATGATGAAATTAATACGATGGACAGAGTGTGCTAGATGCTTGTCTGTTTTATTCAAAGCTATGAATGCCTGTGTAGTACATTTTTCTAGGATTCTATTACTGTAAATGTCAATATGGGACTTAAGTTGATGGGTAATGATATTTTTTCTTGTCAACCTATCATTCACCTTCAAGTTCTGAAAGGAATTCATCTTTTATTCTTTTTAACGTTTGGCCGGAAAGCATGAATACATGTTGAGGGTAGTAGAAGTTTTGTAGACATTGAGGGGAGTTTTGAATAAGATAGTTTTAGTAACCTAAATGGAGTTTTTGGATTTGAATGTTTAGTTGATGACTATTGACGGTTAACAAAGCGTAGAAATTAACTTCTCATGTGATATTAGTTATATAGTTTCCATATCTATCTTTCATCTGCCAAGATAATAACTTATTCAATGATCTAGATAATGTACAAGTGCAAGAACGCCACCTTCTTGAACTGCTTTGTGGAATAATACCATGGCTTGATCCTCCTGATGCTGTTTCTAAAGCGATTGAATGTGGAAAGAGTGAAAGGTTATATCCCTGAAAATTACTTTTCCCTCCTGCCAAATTATTATGTTTCTTTGCTATTACAATTTCTCATCTTCATTTTGGAT